TTTTTGTCCTTTTAAGTCCTTCACTCTGGTGTACAGTTACGACCCAAATGAATAGCAGCTTGCTCTGGGCTCACCATGACGGGCGCCTGTACGTTGCTGGGAGACACGCAGTTCCTATTTTCTCGCGCTCAGCAGGCTACAGAGAAAGACCACTGTAACAGGCGAACGCGCAATTTTGTCACCTGCTATCTGAAAAACGGGCTAACCGTTATGCTTACTTGATAGACTGTGTGAGTGGGGAAGTAATATTTTCTCTTTTTATTTCTTTCCCTGAGAGTCTCGTCAGTCGACATATCTTTCGTCACTGAAAGCAATGTGACGTCCGTTTAAGTTCTCAGTCCCCTAGGCCAAATTGGTCGTAAATTGGTTATCTCGACGTCAGATATACATAGGTGGTAACTTTACCTGCAAAACCATGAACAGAAGCCTCTGATCAAATGCAAGCGTCCAGGTCACGGCGTTGTCTGAGCTCATCTTCTGTGTCCCCGCTTTCGCCCTTCGTGTGTTTGATCTGCATATCCGACAGTAACGCCTCCACTGATTGTTACCAAAAAAACTGGAGGGAAACATCGTTTTGCGGAAATAGATTTGAGAAAGACGATGAAATATGCAGAATTTGATGAGTTCATAAAGTTTTGTGATCTCTTATCCAGCTGTTGGTGGCAACCCTGATGGTGGTCGCGGTCAGTGCATAGTTACAAGAAAGCTGTCCAATGTGAGAACAATCATGGCGGTCAAACGCGATGAGTAAATAGGAATAGGGAGTGTTGATAAAAAGTGAGCGTGAGCACTTGGAATAAAGGGTCACGAAATTGTGGGGCGTCATTGAATTCTGTACACTTTATCTCTTCTTGTCTTGAGCAAACTGGAAGGAGTCTGGAATAACCATTTCGGGCCTACAGTGAGTGGCCTATCTCACAAAATTTTGACTGAAATTCTGAAATGTGTTTTCGATTAGGAAGGATTACTTAGGCGCGGTTGTAATCCTGATTATTTTGCGACATAATCCTATAATATTTCGGACTCGGCAGAATGTCAGCTTTTAAATACACTGCTTTTCAATCTCCTGTAGTAACCGAATTGTGTAAAAAAAGACTACTTAGGTAGAATGCATTTTTCCCATTGATTTTTGATGGTCTTGCAAATTCAAATATATCTTATAAAAACCATAAACAAAAATATGCTTTCTTCCAGTCGATTAATAGAGAATCACGTCTTCTTTATAGCTTTTATTTAAGTAAGGAGAATAATTAGGTTTTAAAAATGTTTTCCAATTCCCGATTAATTTTGAGCCAGATTTGCCATTGCATCAGCGTTTAGCGATTTCAGTATAAAAGGTGCGTGCTTTCCACGTAAGGAAAATCATATATTCCTCTATGCCTTTAGGAAGATCCGGACTATGTTGTACATTTCACGAGGAGCTGCCGTAAACGGCCAGGTATGATGCTATGTAAATGGACATTGCGCGGTCTAAAAAAATCTCATAATTAGAAAGTTTTCTAAAACCCAATTATACTCCTCCCTTGAGTAAAAAATATAAAGATAACGTAATTCTCTATTAACTGACAGAAAGAAAGCATATGTTTCCCTGCCAGCACATTGCCCCTTCATAGGCGGGGCTGGAGGGGGCTGGGCGGGGCCAGAGCCCCCTTTGGATTGAAGCCTTTTGAAGCGTATTTGCATCGAAAGATATGTTCCAAAAGCACCACTTATTGTACCTTCTTTGGAATTTAAAGGAGCTAATTTATCAAAATTGGCTTATAAACCATGGAGAAAGCATCCGTTTACGTCCACTGAATGTAGCTGCGGATGAGCACAATATATTGAGGTTTTGTTTAAGTCCCTCATTGCTTAAACTCTTATTTGTCCACCGGTTTACAATCTGTGTGTGTTATTAATTCGTATATTTGACAATGAGGACGATATTTTAAAGTGGTGCCAAAAGTGGGCTGGGATGTGGCGTCCCCTGCGCATTTTTTTCGTTGGCGGGGCTAGGCGGGGCTATCGCGTTGCATGCCCCGCCACAGCCCCCTCCACAGCCCCGCCTAGCCCCCTCATAGCCCCCTCTAGCCCCGCCATTATTGAGGGGGCCAGGCGGGGCTAGGCGGGGCTGGTGCTGGCAGGGTTGTTTATGGTTTCTATAAGATGTATTTGAATTTGCAAGACCATCGAAAATCAATGGGAAAAATGTATGCTACTTAAGTGGTCATTTTTCACCAAGTACAGTTTCTACAGGAGACTGTAAAGCAGTATATTCAAAAGCCGACATCCTATCAAGTCCGAAATGTTATAAGACTATGTCCCAAGATAATCAGTATTAGAACAGCGACCAAGTAACCCTTCCTAATCGAAAACGCATTTCAGAATTTCAGCCGACATTTCATGACATCGGTCACTTACAGTATTTGCCGCCATCAGCCAGCCACCTCCCAACCCCGGAGAACGACAGGCGGGAGTCGAAGCATTGAGCACAAAGTCCAACATACTATCATTGGGCTACGGGCTCCCGTCATGTCTGCTGCAATGGAGAAAATTTGATGTTGCATAGGAGTGAAATCAATTTTTCAACCCCGATTGTGAGCATCGGGAAAGCCGCCACAATTCTGTGTTTAGTCCCCAGTTGATGAAGTCTTTGTCATTGACGGTTCTTTCAGCCGCCTAATAGACGAAGTTAGTCGCCTGTGACAGTACGTATGTTGACTGGAGATACCCAGCATGTAGAAACGACAGTCCTCAGTGTCCAAGAACTTAAAGCAGATGGCCTTTCCTAATGCACATCAACCTTGTCAGCTGCCACGCTGCAGTAACGTTGTTTGCGCAGCTATGCTGGCTTTTTGAAAGAATGAGACTGCTAAGGCACCGAGCTTGCTACCTCTGAGATATTTGTCTGCCTGCGCACGGCTGACACCTTGTTCAAACTGCTGTGTTAATCAAGGACTTAAGGCAAGGACTGGAAACCGTCACTGCCACTGCCACCGCAGGCGCCGCCGCCTCCACTCCTTGATCGAGTTGACTTAACGTAGTAATTGTTCCTAGGACCTTGAGCAACTTCAAAGTCTTACACGCAATGTCTCATCAGTGTTTCGACACAGCTTATGCAGTCAAATGTGCCAGCTGGGTAGAGCACCTCGACCGAGACAGTGGAGGTAGCGTATTTGGCTCCGTCCTATTTTGTTCAGTAATCAGAATCCAAAGATCGCATGTGTCTGACGAGAAGCAGGGGCTGGTAGTTCAGTGGAACCTCGGTCTTGGGTTAGGGCATGTTTGACGGACAGCAGGAAACAAACCTGAATGGGCTGTCCAATTCTGTTTGTCTTTGTCAACACACCTGCCGACTACTATTTACTTCTGACTGCATATCTGCGACGGTCTAAATGACCTAACGCAAAGTGGTCGTGCACGGTTCTACCGATGGATTGCTTGGTCCTCGGGGACAAAGGCGAAATTTGAAACCCTCCTCACCTTGAAATCTGGTGTTTGTGCGTGTAGGAGTTAGCACGTGTGTGGCACATGTGAACACTGGCTTTGTCCCAAATCGGCCGCTGAGCTCGTGGCAACTGCCAGTCGCTTTAATCTTGTCTTGTCGTTGAACTGTGATGGTTGTGGGAAGACGGAGAAGGGTGTATGTAGGTGCTGCGTAAATCGGTCTCACTATTAGCACATTCAGACGCCAGTCAACATTTAGCCTCCTCCGGGACAGTGTTTCATCTAGTCGCCTCAGAGGCCTGAATTACTGTGTGCACATTCCCACGGAGATGAATAGGCACAGAGTGAAAAGAGCGACCCTCCGCATCAGAATCCCAATGCCGTTACACTGCCGTAGGTAGATAACTTCCACTTAAAGTTTATACGGTGCACCACTAATTATTGAGCCTCCTCGTCACATTGTCTCGTTAACTGCTTCTTGCTTCCACATTTAGAAGAACCCAATATCTTCTACTTTAGAACCCAAGCACCATTAGTATGTAGTAACTGCATACTTGGACAGCAAATTTGGTTCGACCGTCTTCTTCCGAAATACGGTTGGATCGCTAAAAATACCATAGCGTTTAAGCATTTTTCGCAACTTTTGCGTTTATCCGTACGTCAACTGTGAAACTGTCGTATATTAAGTAGTCATCAACACTCAAAAGCGCGACACTACTAAGGCTGACGAGAAATGGTTACGTGAGATGCAAAGGAAACAATGCTGACCCTGTGGGACAACGAATTCTTCATAAGAAAGGTCAGAGATTCATTGAAAAGTTTAAAGCTACTTGGGAGGTTCAGGTTTCTAATTTTCCCGAAGAAGGTAATTGACAACTTTGGCCGGCGGACTCGATCACATCGTTGGTAAACGTGAGAGATTGTCGCCAAGCTTTTCTCTAGATAGGGCTTGGAGAAGAAGGGCCTGGGCGGAACTCTTGGAGAAGGTGCAAGAGGCTGGTAGGATCCTTGACCACACCATGAGGAACAGGCGAGATCATCTCACCGAAAAGTCGGACGGTGGCGCCGAACACCAGTTCAGCGGCAGCAGAGTCAAGGTCCGATTTGAGGGCGGAGCGGATACCCAAAAGGATCAGGATGGATGATACGTCCAATTCTCTGGATCCTCTGTAGCGCGTACGGAGGTCTTCGATTGGCGGTGAAGCCGCTCAGTCATTGCGTTGGCAGCAGTGTGATAGGTTGCCGTGCGGATGCGAGTAGAGCCTAAAGAGGAGAGAAGAAACTGGAAGAGATGAGATTCAAACGGGACACCGCGATCAGCCGTAACTGTGGATAGGGTGCCGTAGAGGACAACCTAACGACTGAGGAGGACCTTAATCACATTTGGATCAACCACATCGGACAGGGAGAAAGCTCCCGGCAATCGAGTAAAACGGCCCACAGAGGTGAGGGAATGGGAACAGCCGTTGGACAGTGGCGGAGGGCCTACAATGTTGAGGAGGCATTTCGGAGTCAAGACGGTATACGCGGGAACTCAAAGAGCGTGTTTATGACTGTCTTTGTAACGTCCTCTGTGGTCACGGGGATCTGGTGGAAGGCCCGAACAAGGTCGATCTTCGAAAACACAGACTTGCCCGACAGGGCCCTGGCAAGATTTTGGAGATTGACAATGGTGTGTTGGTCCGGAATGGTGATGCTGGTCAAGGCCCCATAGTCACCGCAGGACGTCAGTCACCAATGACAGCCTTGGAAACCATTAGAGGAGATGAAAACTGAGGGATTTTAGACTGGCGGATGATGAGATTGCGGTATTTATCAAAGAGCTGCTGAAATGGACTATGTGGATAAGGGTCCAGAACGGCGGGTCAGCGGGGCGCCTTAGAGGATGAGCATGGGGGTCAAGTAGTGTAGACGGAACCGACGGCAGTCGAGGAATTCTGCACCGAGTACATCACAGGGCACGTCAGCAACGACAAAGACCCAAAGGAAATAGACGCTGGAGACCGATATTCGGGGAGGAAGAGCGAAGTCGAAGGTGACGATTGGCGATTACTTGACGGTCTGAGGAAAGAGGCCGAGAGTGGGACACCGACGGTGGGCTGCTGTGGGAGGGATGATACTCAGCTGCTCACGACTGCCGATCAGGATGCGTCTGCAGCTCTGACTTTCGAACTGACTCGTTTGCTCTGCCTGATGAGAGGAAGGGATGCAGGGACGGGCGTTGCCATCAAAGATTGTGTGATACCAGCAGGTAGCGCCTGAGATGGAACGGAATGAAACAGTTGGCTGGACTTGTCGGGCAAATGACTTCGGTGGTCTCCGGGATGATGAGAAGGCTGCCTATTTTTGAAGAGATGCTATAGCTTGGGCAAGCTCCGCAGTCGTAGACTCCAGGTGCGGGAATGGGGACGAAGGAAAAATTCAAGAATTTGAGAGAGCGAAAGTGGTGGTTTAGAAAACCTGCATCTCCATAAGGCATTCGGTCATCTGAGTAAGTTGTGCGACCTAGAAAGCGTCAGAAGCATGTGATAAAGTACACTGCATTCTACTCGGATAGCCGTCCATTCTCAGCGCTCGACTGTATCATAGATCGTGTCGAAAGGAGATTGCCTTCCGTAAGGAGTTATTTTTTGGTGAAATGGGGATCTGACGGGAGAGTTCCCAATGGTCGACAACACGAGGATACCAGAATCACGAGTGAGGGAAGACAGATTGAGCTGGACAAGCTCTTGTGTTCTGAAAGAGCGTGCGGTATGCTCTGCAAGCGGCTGCCGTAAGCTGTTTCCTCATTCGCGTTGTGTATTCTCTGTCCGACATTGAGGTTCCTAGACTCCAGCTCGTGTTTTGCGTCCTCGCGTTGTCTGACTTGTATCCGCCTGTACCCAATCAGGAAGGATCGCCGTTGACTGGCTTCGAGCTCACGTGAGGTCAGTGCCAAGCAGGGTGCCGTGAAAAGCCCAACGATCTCTGGTGGTGTAACTGTGTGTCTGGGGAAATGACTGGTGCTCTACCGCCGATGACCTCCTCGCAACTCGTCGTAATGCTCCCTTAATGCTGGTCTGAGCAGCCTCCACATAATAGCGTAAGAAATCAAAGAGAGTTCGGCCAGCGGATATATGGGTATCGGGATCTGGAGTCTCTCTCTACTCTAGCACCTCCTTTAGTCCTACGCTGCAGCTTTCCACAGCACTTCGTTCTCCACTGGTCGTTTAGCAGGCATGTCAGTATCGCCTCTTCATCCAAATAGGTTGCTTCTCCATTGTAACTCAGTCCGTTTGTACAATTGATCATTATTGTACATTCACAGTTTCTATCTCTTCCTTTTTGCCTACCTAACGCTTCTTCCTCTTCACTTTCGTATGGATGAGTGTATTGACGCGTCAAGGAGTCTATTCAGATCGATTTCAGCCAGGATTTATTTCCAACGCTTCGCTGCCTCGGTGTGTGCTACCCTTGACGTCTTTGGTCGCTACGGCGGTCCTAACAGAGAAGTGGCTGGGAGCTTGAGGCAAACAGATGGGCAGCGTGGCAAAGCGGCGTTGGTCGGCGGGGGGGCGCGGATTTCCACACGGCCTTCGCTGATCTGACCTGATGTGAAGATTGGTCACGGACTTCGCTTTTTGCCTTGGAGGTTCAGCCCAGAATTCACGCAGACGGTGGCGTGGTAAACACTGATAACCAATCGGTTATCATTGCCAAGAGTGATAAAGCAGATTACATTGGTGTTTTTTGTCCTATTTGCCGCCGTTAGTGTGACATGTGAAGACATGGGGCTCGAATCCTGACCCAGTTGACCAATGAGGTTTGACGTTCGGCCAGTGAGGCCACGCGTCTGCGGTCGCATCACGAGGAAGTAACCTCCACCGATATGGCATAACGAAGTCTGGGCGTTTCGTTTTGTCTTGAAGCTGACAGCGCCGGTCCATGACTGAACCAAGCGCGCATTCGCCCCAAAAATCGATTCAGCCTGGTCCGAGCCGTGAGTATTCTCGGCATAGAGTTAAGCCACGACTAACTCTTGACGACGATGACAGATAAGCCGGAACTGACTTCTCTAAACTTTTTGCCCTCATAGCTAATAACCATAAATTACTGAAAACCCTTCTGTTGGACGACGAAATATGTAAAAAGCGCTGAACTGCATATCGCCTCGGATGTCTACTCCTTCAACTATTGACAATAACATAATTTGGACGGCCAAGGAGAATTTAAAGGTGGCTGCCAGACAAAGTTAGGAATATAAAAGATTTTGCTTCTGGGACAATCAGTTAAGGCCAACTGAGTTGCCGCGGCGTCTAAAAGTCAGACATCACATTACGGGGTCACTCAGGGAATTGTTTTTCGAAGACCTCTTTAACAACTTGCCTCCGTGCAAAGGGTCTCCTACCGTAGTTTCAGATGATTAGAGGGAGATCTTAAAAGGTTGTTTTTGAGCCCACTGGCTCTTACCAACTATGTCAGGAATTTACAAAGCAATCCGAGAATAGGCCAACCATTACAAAACTCCGATTCAACCCCGGGTTGTGTGTAGGTTCGACATCTCAGACTGTGGCCTACACGTCTTATTTACAACGGAAAGCATTAATTGTGCAACCACTTGGCTTCTTGCAGGCAGTATGTTTGGAAAACAGTTTACTGTCGTGAGAAGTGCAGAATGCACCCTTAATTATAGAGAAAAATTGACTGTGACATAAGAATTTCATTGTTTATTCCTTATTCGTCCGAAGGAACGCCGACTTCGTCCTGAGAATTTAACGCTATTATTACAAAAGTTGTGTTGGGTAATTTTTTTGTTGACACTCTCTGTAAAGAGCGTGCAATATGCGCTTTTAGTTTTCGTAATCATTCCGACTGAGAGTATGTTATTTTTGAAGACATTCAAGAACAGAGCCCATTTCCGGCCCAAATAGAACTGAACAGCAAGAAAGGATATTCACCGCCTGTGTAAAGAGATGGGAATCGGTCGAGGGACAACTGTATTCTTGAGTTGGATGCTCAGTAGCTGAGGAGAAGACGCATGTTTTTTATGCATGTATGGAAAATCTACTAAAGTATTCCTTCCTAATTTAATCAGTTCGGATTAGTCAGAGACAGTTA